CCCCATGATTTTTCAGGGCATTACCTCATTCTTAACAGATTTACTGTGGTGTGATTCCATAAATGTGCATATGTTACAGAATGAGACTTTAATGAACTTGGCAACCTGCAACATAATAAAAGTAACCTTCTAACTCACATATATATATATATATATATATATATATATATATATATATATATACAAACTTTGAAATGCGCACACATTCTCTAAAGCCTTCAATAGTCCTATTGCTATACTGGAACATAAATCCCTTGTTACTACTTTATCCATGAAACATTCATTTTTCATGCCTCAGCATTTTGTTTCCTACTAAGCAAAGAATCCAGCTTCTGTGAAGTCCTGCAAGGCTCAGTTTTGTTCCCCCTGTTCTATTCTCATCTTACTACTTCCTAAGAATCAGATGTGATGTCATCAGTCACCTCTAATGTTAACCACTAACATCAACTTTAGTGATGCTTATCTGCAGGCATTTTAACACTTGTTAGTGTATCTCCTCCTCCATAGTTCCCACTGTTAACTTCTAGGTTTGCTCTTGCTCTTGGTTTCCTAGGCCAAAGCTTGAGATGTACCCAAACAAATAATCTCTTTCATTATCTGCTCCTTCTGTCTGCTCCTTCTAAACTGCTTGCATAATCTCAGCACTGACTTGGTTCTTCTACATCTCATCTGCAGACTGCCTGCTGATTCCTGCAACATTCTCTGTATATAAAAATTTCTTTGGCATACAGCTGGATCATGCTTTGCTTCCCCTAAAACCATAAGGCAACAGCGTACTCAGAAACCCAGTGCTTGCAATGAAGAATTTTGCAGCCTGTGTCCCTTTTCAAAGATGTCTTGGACTGCCCTGCTCAGTAGCTGCTAGGATTGATGTCTGAACTGTGGTCTTCCTGACACAGACACCCCAGGTGCCAGAGGCCAGTCACCTCATTTCATCTCTTCCAAACAATGACATGGGAGAGCAGAGTCCTTGAAAATACTCCCTACATCCATCTTCACCAAATTCCTCATCTTGATACTCATCTGTTTTCAATTCAGTTACATCTCCTTCTGCCCTAAAGCCAAGCTCTCCAGCCTGACAGATGTACAGATTGTAATCCATCCTCCAATGCACAGAATGATGCATCTGCTCCTCCCCCAAAAGCAAGCTACAAAAAAAAGAGAATAAAATTCCTCCAACATTCTCCCTCACCCAAATATTTGCTTGGAAGAAATCTACAGCAATGGAAGAAGAACACAGTATGTCACATTTTTTCATGCTGTAATTGTTAACCACGTTTAATATGCAGCCAGCTGTTTAACTCCTGTCTACAGCAAAAGCTGGTGAGTTACTCGAAGACAAACAAAAGCAAACAAACAAATAAAAGCAAACAAACTCCAAATACACATACAGAAGCCACACATATGCAATCAGCCATTAGCACTAGTTCCTATAAAAAATTCACGATTATCTTCAGCTAGGGCAAGGCAATTCTACAGAAACTGGAGTGCTACATTCAAAATAATAGAGAAAAATATAAAATGCTACTGGTCAAGTTCATATAAAGGATTTAAAGTTTTGCTTAAATAAGAATGTGCATACTTCTCCTTGTTTAGAGACACACAGAAAATTTGAAACGAACTGTTAGAACACAGGTATCAACACTGACAGAGTATGTATAAAGTTTAAACCTCTCAGCGTGGGACACAAGTTACAACACAAAAATAGCATGTAACACAAAGAAATTACTTGGGAAACAGATAAAAATGTGGGATACTTTCATGGATGAAAACTAACTTGGCTTTGTAATATAGCTAACTAAGCCTTCATTTTCTAGCATAGAAAATACATATGAGACATTATTCTGAGGTGTTCTAAGCCAAGTTCCTAGAAATCAAAGAATTTGAAATCTGTTTTGCTGGGACCTAGTCTAGTCAATCACTTATTTTAAATCTCATATTTTTATTTGAAATACTTTGTTAAGGATCTATCTCATAAATAAATAAGCATATAGGTGGATAAATAAATACTTCTGCCTTTATTTTGATGGAGCCTATACTTAAAAATAAATTTTAGAACAGCAAAGAGCTTGTTTAATAGAGACAAGCAAAATTCCTAAACTGACTAAATGTAGAAAATAAATATAGTAAAAAAATTTTTAAGACTTAAGAATTGTTTAATAGAGAAGCTTTTTAAAGGTTTTGTTGTTTTGGTCATATACTAAGAACTTTATTAAATGCTTTATTTCAGAATGCAAGCAAGTTGCAGATTTGTATGACTCACAACCAACTGCAGAAAACATGCATTCATCCCATATAATTCCCATATAGTTCTACTATAGTTACAGTGACTTTAGAGTCAAGGCCATCTGAAACAGCCGATACTAGATTTGACCAAAAATGAAAAGGAGACACAGAAAGAAGATAAAGAACATGTCTGTGTTCTTTATCACGCCAAATCAAAACTCTATATGGAAAATGTCTTACCGGAAAGGATTCCTTCAAGCAGCAACCACTAGCAAGATGCAGATTTTTCTTGTTATCTGAGAAAATGGATCATGTCATCCCATGTTACAAAATGTCTTGGATTCTTTATCTAGCTAAAGAGCACTGAAGCATCTGTAAGTGTCCAGAATCACAAGCGGTAGTTGTGGGTACATATATCCTTGGTGGAGAAGTACACCACATCAGCCATTTTCAAGATTTCTCAACTATCCATCACCCAAGCCAGGGCTCCCCACAGTTTCTACTGTCTGTTATACTGGTCTGAGGTGGAACAGCTCTTAAACTGAGAAACAGAAGTCTATTACTTCTACAAAGAAGCTGTATTCACAGTGGAGCACACTGGCTTTTCAGGTTTGAATAATGTGTTTAGTTCTTAACTAGAGTAGCTTCTCTACAACTAACTTATTTTGCACAACTAATGAAATGCTTCCTTATCAGGCATGTTTTTCCTTCATGACCTTGCCCATACAGCTGAGGTTTAACAAGCACCTTGTTGGCTTGAGTTGCTCTGCTCTGTAACGATGCCTTCCTTCCTGTTGTGGAAAGCAAGAAGCTGGCCTAACAAATTCAAAGCTGTGAAATGAATCATAAAGGCTTTAAAAATTTGCTGCAATCTCATATATATGTTCTCTTGGCCAGTCAAATCTGTGTTCTTTTCTACCCAGAAAGGATTTGCTTTTCATACGTGTATCTTAATTTGAAAATGTCCATTCATGTTCTATGGTATCGGAAACTTAAGAACGCTCAGTGGGAGTGGCTTTCATTTTCTGCCTAATTTTAACTTCAGATACATACTGGGAAATAAATTACTTGACCTAGTAGATCAAACTATGATAAAAATTCAACTATAAAGTTTGGTGATAACAAACTTAATGATGAAAATTTTGTTAGAATTTGAATTCTATTCTCAAAGTCTGCAACCTGTTTAGCGCTTCCTTGCCCCTGAAATGGAAGCCTATTTTTTCGAAGTTTCCCATATTTTCTCTATTATTAAAAAAGTCTTTATAGACTTGCTATTGGAAAAGCTGCTATAGCTGTTTGTTTTATGTACCACTAAATAACATGATGTTAAAAACGAGAGTTGCCCTCTGTCAATTTTCGAGCAGGCAAATACATCTATGGTTACATAACCACCACACAGCTCACTCTTCTTGGCAAGAAATGAAATGAATAGTTTTTTCAGACAGAACGATATACAGAGGTTGCAATACTCTACAACTCCCCAGAAACAACCATTCCTTCCCACAATTAACGCAGGCATACACTCAAACCTCAGCCACTGATACGCAGCATCAAGCTACCAGCAGCCCCGTATCTGACAATTTAAGCTACTATCTCACCTCAGTCATGGACAAAGATTTGTATTCTCTTGGCACTAATAGGGACAATTACATTTAAAATACGTGGGAGATGAGGTGCACAAGCAAATGGTGCTTACACCTTAAAATGCCTTGGTTGTTTTGATTGAGCCTGGAAACGTAAATGAATCAGGAAACTTGCATTTTTTCTTCTCCAAAATTATTTACCAGCAAACAAAAGCATTTGAATGAAACATGTGAAATTGGCTGAGGAGATGGACTCAGATCAACCCAAAATCTCAAACTAAATCTGCACTCATTAAAACAGCATTTCTATTTTTTTCATGCAGGATGGACTCTTCATTCCTGGGAGCTGAGGTTCTGCTCATCTCAGTTACGTTCTACTCTCAATGCAAATTAACAATACTAAGAAGGCACAGGCTCTGAAAACTGTTTAAGTTCTTTTTCTCTTTAATCCATTTACACTAAAATAGCCCTAACCAGCCAATCAACAAGCAAAAAATACAAGACTAGTTTAATACATCTGCAATTAGCCTAGTGCATTTTACAATTTTACAACTAAAACTGTTTATCCTAATTCTGTAGCTTATTTTGCCCTTCAGGAAAACATATTTTTGAAGATGATGTTTCTTTGATAAGATACTGCTTTTTACTGCTTTCCATGTAAGGGTGTCAACTCTAAACTCTTAATGATCTAGAAGATTCTGAAACAGGGAAGAAGAAATCTCATATTCAAATTGAAGGCCTTTTTTTTTTTTCCTATTTTTTTTTTTTTTTTTTCTAATTGATCACAGCTACAATTGTTCATGTTAAAATAATCAAATCTAAAGTTCTGTTAGACCAAGTTCTGGCCTTCCAAAATTTTTGTTAGACCAAGTGCTAGCATTTCAAAACCAAAGTAAATGAAAAAGAATAGTCTCTTAAGTCTTCCTAAAGCACTTGTTAAAATGACTTGTTTAAAATTAGCATAGAAAGGCGCAAAAGCTCAAAGAGACAAATAGTTAAGAAAAAAAAGAAAGATAAAAAAAATAATATAAGACGACGATGTTAAACATGGACTGAAACAAAAGGCTTAGAAAACATTAAAGACATTAAAATGTAGATCCTTTTTTAATATTTTAGATTTGGGCACTGGAGCTGGGAATGCCACTTTTCTTCCAAAAGGTAAGAAGGATATTAAGTACAGATAATACATACCTGCTGCGTAGATAACATCTACCACCAAAGTCAGACCTTGCAATAAAACCTGTATCTTGTTTCGTAAGTAAAAAGCCAAGCTCCGTATTTCCATTTCTGTGATGACAAAAGAAGTGCAGATCGAATGGTAACTGCCCAGAAATTGTGTGAAACTACATATGTATAGTTGATGCCATACAAGGTCTCTATTCAGACTGTCAATGTCACAGTGCGGCTACCGAACAGCCCAGCAGAAGACTGTTTTCAACTTCTTTAGCAGATGGAGCAGGGGAGTAATTAACAGGTATTTAGCAATATTGCAAATGAAATTCTATCAATTATCATAATTACTCTGAACTGCAGCAGCAGGTACAAGCCAACACCTGACTACAACTAACAAGTGCAGAGAGAGGAGAGAGTATTTATCGATGTGCAATCACAGCATGGACAACATCTCAGTTCTCTGAGTCATCTCTAGACCTCTGCAGAAGGAATTTTGTCTGCCAGTGTAATGTCAGTCTGACATTTCCTTGCAGAAGGAGTAAATACTATTATCCCGAAGAGCATATCAAAAGACACTGTCTGAAAGACACTTTCAGGTGCAATTCTGAAAGTGGCGATATGAATAAGTCATTACAGTCATCAATTTCAAAGCAACAAAAAGAAAAATCTAGCTGCAAGAAGCACAATATGTGCCTGAGATACATGAGGAAACGTGTCAGTTGCCATGAAGAGTTTTCAAGTATGTGGAACTGCTCTGAGAGCATAAAATGATCTCACTCCTTGTCTGGTGCCGATACTTCAAACTTCAGCAGCTAACGAACAAATGTTGTGTTTAACACAGAAAGGGGGAAATTCTAAGAGCTGCCTGAATTTCTGCCTATTTTGGATAACAAGCAGCTGGTTACTTCTGAGTGCATTACCAAGCTGGTGTAGCAGAGAAACCCCATACAAAAACGATGTGAAGAAACATTTCTCACTGCAACTCTGCCAGAGATGCACTAAAAATCCAGCCTGAATTGTATTTTCCATTTCACAGGCACAAAACTTAGTCTTGGGTGCAGTTCTGAGAATTTATCCCTCAAAGCCCCCCTCCCACCTGCTCCCAATTTCTGTGTTTGGGCAGGCATTGTCTTGGGGCAAACGTTGCCATGCTAGAAATAGAGACAGAAAACAGCAGTATTTGTACAGGTCTATTGTGGTTGGATTCACAGATAAGCAGGAGGCAAAGAAAATTCACACAGCATCTTGTATACTGCTACTGTAATGTATGTCCTCGTTGCTTGGATACCTCCAGTGAATTACCAAGCAGGGGTGCGAGTCTCTTTCCTAGCTGATATTAAATAAAAAAATCCCAATGTACCGCTGTGTAAGAAGTAGAAGATGCACATGGAGGCTTCCTGAGCGCTTGCCCGCTAAGTGCCATAAGAAGACAGATCGAGAATTTTAAATCTTGTGGTTTGCTGCTCCATGTTATGAACCAGATCTCATACAATTCATCACCCAAGTTACAAAAAAATAGTTCAAGAACTCAAAATAATGAATTCTGTCATTTCCAATAGAAGTGTGAAGGGAGAATTATGAATGAACCTTTTAAAACACGTATGTGGAGGGAGATTGCCCTTCTACAAAATGAAAGCAGCAGGCTTCTATTTAAATGGTCCAATCCTGAAACCGAGACCTTTCATTTTCAATTAACTTAAATTGACAATTGAGAAAGGTTTGAAAATGTTGTTGGAGCCTTTCACTTTGATAGATCTCAGCTCTGACATTGCACACAGCATTCTGACCTGATTTTTAGGGTGTGCTGTTTTAAAATTGAAAATTTGAAAAGAATTTGATTCAATCAAAGCTGTTGCAAGACACTCAAACATCTTAATTTATTAGTAATGCATTTCCCATATTTTCTCATCATATGTTATGTAATGCATCATTCATTAAGGCACATTAAAACCTAAGAACCATGCCTTTCTATAATGTATTAGAGCAACATTTTCCTTGCAAAAATTAATTCTATCATGGAACATATTGCCATTTACAACAGGCAACAACAGCAAAAATAAAAACCTTTACATATATTCTAAAACAACCTACTTTACCAAGCTACAATACTGAAATAATGCCATTATCCAGTATTGTGTACCTCTTATCAACATGGTGTAACTTAAGCAAATCAAGCTAATTTTCAAGCTTAATATCAAACTGTGAATTGCTTTGGTCACTTCTGAACACACAAAGGGAACAAAAGAAAGAATTGTGAACAGCTGAAACACTTCACTTAGATAAAAGTGTAATTAATCAAGCCAAATACGGAAGTTCAAAATCCTTAAGTAGAGATCTCCCTGTATGGGAAGTGCCCACATATCAATTAATAAATGGAGCACATTGCTCCTGCTCTTCAACAGATATAGAAATATAATTGGGTCAGCTTAGAGCCACATGATCGCCATGATTGATTCTTAAGTCACTTGTGAATTTGTTCTGTTAAAATACATCTAATTCCTAAATAAACAAGCATAAAATTTGATTTATTTTCCAAAACTTCCATCACATTTGGGGTTACTGGAATCTTTCCAGTACAGAGCATGCAAGTGCAGGCTGGGCAGCCACATTAACGACCTTGATTTTTTTTTCAGGACATCTCTTCATACAAAGAATATTGTTTAAAGGATACTATGAATATTGTTTAAAGTAATGTTCTGATTCTTGTAGCCAACAAAAAGCCAGTGAAAACTGATGTTCGTGATGCAGATTTAGAACTAATGGGTTGTATGTGCTGGACCCCATTTTTTCAACTCAATCCTAAAGAGAGTGAAGACACAACAGAAACAACCTCTCGCAGTACTGAGTCCATATACACCTGCTATGAATTCTGCAGCAAAGTTCGGAACAGAAGCCACGTCAAAGCACGATGACTAAATTCTGTTCCTGCATCTTTTCAGTTTTTCAGTAAACACACACCAAAACCTATTTGATTCTAAAATTCAACTTTGGCCTACTCTGATGGAGTGAAAGCAGCAAAGACGTGTTTATCCCACAAGACCTTTTGCAGGGAGCTGGTCAGGAGCTACTTTAGTGATGCATGCAGAAGAACAGTAAGTATAACTTGACCATCCAAGGAATTAGATGCTGCCAGGCCTCAGGAATTCCATTTTCTCCAGTGTATCTTCATTGGTGGGAGGCAGGACAGACAGCAGTACTACCTCAATGCCAACTAAATCTTCGGCCATTATACTGCATATTGGTACTTACTTACAATAGCCACTTGGAAATTCAGTCTGGATTTCTGCATCGTCCTGCATCCTTAACATGACTAATATTTGATTATACTTTTTTGTGTGTACGAAGTGACTGCCCGGTGTGCTTCAGCAATAGAAACAGGGACAGGGACGGAGAGCTGAGCACTAGATTATGATTAGTATAAATATAGATTAATAAAAATAAAATAAAAAATAAAATAAAATTAAAAAAATAATAAAAAAAAATAAATAAAATAAAATTCTGTTTTCTTCTCAATGTTTTCCAAACTGAAAGATAATGAGAAGGGTGAATTGATCTTCAACAGAACAGTGTAAGCATTTTGTCCCTTTTTTCTTAGCATATGACAAGAAAAAGGAAAGAAGAATGACATGGTTGATGCACAGTTTGTAATATTTGAAAATATTGAAAATGATATATACACCTGTGTGTATATATATATATGCCTCTATGTTAGCTGTGAGAACTGCTGTTCGTAAGGAACATGGAGAATTCCAAAGCCATTTGCAGTTCCATTCAGCACAGAGAAGAGTTAAGGACTTGGAGAGCTGGGAAGCCTGGTCAGTTCTACACATGGAGCCAATTTTAACAAACACAGCAGCAGAAACAAAGATGTCACCTTCAGTTATTCCAGTGTCTTTATAATATGGATGAGAAGTCACCATAAACCAAAGTACATGGCTCATTGTACAAGGAGTGGCCTACAACAAGGAAGGTCAGACACAACACAACCATACTTCCCTACAGAATATTGCTTTAAAATACTACTACCAATGCAACTTACTGTATTTTTCTGAAAATGTTTGACTATGTCTCCCACTTCAGCACATGGGAAGTTGGATTCAGGCTGAAGTGCAGCATCTGAAAGTTGGCTTTCAATAAAGCTACAAGGCGGCCTGTTTTGGTGCACCTACTGTGCTGGAGCAGTGCACTGGCAGCACTGCTGGATCTGCCTGCAAAACCCTTCCTCGGCTCTCATCTTGCTTGGGCCTTTTCATGTTTATAAACATAATCGTTTCATGTTTACATGTATAATCATTATTTTTTCCCTACGGGAAGTATTTTGGGATTCCTCACTGAGGCACACTGCTGGGCCACGAACTATTAGTAGGAACAGCCTCTTACAAATCCACCTGCTGCACAGGTCACTGTGAGAGGGCGGGGCTGAGAAATTAATAAAGAAAAAAAAAAAAGAAGAAAAAGAAGAAGGCACTCGGAAAATGCTTTTAAAACCGATGCAAAGTTGTAACTGGGGCTGCAAAAACTCCGCAGACGGCTGCACAGCGCCGGAGCAGTGCCGGGGCCGTGTCCGCCGGCTCCCACGTCCGCGACCTACGGCCGCAGCGGCAGCACACCCCGCCCCGGGGGCCCGAGGCTGCGCCTAGCGTGCGGCGTGCTTCTGCGGAGCAGCCCTCATGCCGACAACAGAGACACGTGACTAGACGTATTTCTTTAGGGGGAAAAGAAAAAAAAAAAAAAAAAAGTGGATGTATGTAATCGAACCCCCATCCTCCCCCCCTCTTCTCCACCCCCGCCCTTCCCCAGTCCGGCTCTGCTGTCCGCTCTCCCGCCGGCTGGGCAGCGCTCCCGGCCCGCACGCCCTCCTCCCGCCGCCGGGCTGCCCCTCGTCACGCTGCTGCCAGACCCGGACTTACCGGCGGGACAGCGCCGTCCCTCGGCCCCCGCGGCGCGCTCGCGGTTCAGGGCGGCGGCATCCCCCGGGCCGGCCGCCTCCCCGCACCCCCCGTTTGGTCCCGGCGCTGCGCTGCGTGCCTCTCTCGGTGCGGCCGGCACCGTACGCTGTAGCGTGGAAGAGGCGGAGGAGTGTGCGTGTGTTTGTGTGTGTGTGCAGAGGGAGAATTAACTTTGCTCAATGGCGACAGGGCAGCAGCCTCAGCCCAAGCATCAGATCGATTTACTAAACAAACGTGGGTGGGGATGTTAAACAGTAACCAGCAGCTTCAATGAAAACTGAAAGCTGCTCAGCCCACGGCTGGCCCTGCGCGCACCCTGCGCCCCGCCGGCTGCCGTGCGAGGCGCTCCCGGCCCGGCTCGGCTCGGTTCGGCCCGGAGCTCTCCGGCGGGGCTCCGCCGCCCGGCCCGGCACCCTCGGGGCATCGGCCCAGCGGCGCGGCCTGCGGGCAGCGCGGGGGGAGGTGCGTGCCCAGCGCCGTCTGCGGGCGGCGTCCGCTCGGGCTGCCCACGGCACTGCGCTGGGGGAACGGAGCAATCCCGCTCTGCCCCGCTGTTGCCCCCGCTTCCCTGCGAACGCCCTGTTCCTTGCCCTAGGTCGGTGGACCTCTCAGCGCCGCGCAGGTCGTGACACAAGGAAGTGTTTATAAAATAATAATTGTCATTGTCCTCTGCCACGGCACACTCAGATTCGAAACAGTAATTAACGGTCAAACCGTGAGATCACTGCTCACTTCCGCGGAGGCATCGGGAAGGGAGCGGGCACCTGGGGCTGTGTGTCACCGCCACCCGGAGTGTCCCTGCCGTGTGAAATAGAGTGGGAGATGCCACGCGAGAGCGAAGAAAGTGCCCGCGGAGCGCCCGGCCTGTGCGCGTCGCGCGCCGCTCACAGTGCCGGGATGCGAGCGGCACTCGAAGGAGCGGCGCAGCGAGGGTCATGCGCTGAGATTGGGGAGAAAAAGAGATGAAAAACGTTCTTTTCCTCTGGTCTCTGTGATTGATGGGTTTCTCAGCGAGGAGCTCAGCTCTTCGTCCTCACCGCGGTCCCTCGCCGTGCCGCTGGATCTCGTTACGGAGGCCGATGCCTCGTTCCCTGAGCTCACCCGTGGAAGCTGCGGGTTCGCTTTCCAGGGGCTTTCGATTGTCACTTGGAGGGGACAAAGAGAATTCCGCTTGGCAATTCCCTCCGTTACGAAACATTAAATAATCATTGGAAATAATTGCCCCGTAGCCACAGGGCCCTCAGATGTTATCACAGAGGTGGGTTTTAAGAGGCCAATGAAAGTCGCCGGGGAAGCTGATCCCGAGGAGCGCTGCCCATCGCAAGTGAAATGCCGCGGGCAGGGGCAGCGCTGGCACTGACACACGCGCTGCTGCGGCTCGGAGCGCTCCGCGGGAGCGAATGGCTTAAAAGCGACCGCCACCTGCGTGGGGTCGGCTTTCACCTCGCTGCTGGAAATCTCGGCCCGATGCTGTGGGCATGAGCACTTTGCTTAAATGAATAAAAAGCGTTGGTCATCATTTCTTTGCTGCCCTAATGAGAATAAAAAACAAACTAAAGCCATATAAGACCCTATGTCCACCCTCGTTTCTGGATCGTGAGGAGCAATTTGATGGGTTGCGGACGTGGGGGGCACGGTGCTTCGGTTCCGGTCCCTCCCTCGTGTCCCAGCGCAGTTAATTCTTCTCCCTGCGGGAAACGTTCTGCCTCGTACCAAAGAAAACAGCCCGCAGGGTGGGAAATAGGGCTTCTTTCCCGTGCGGGGAATATTTGCGCCTATTTCCCATCACATAAGGCCGCGTTTGATGTAACCTTAATGTAACTAGTGCCTTTCATTTCTACACGAGCGTTTCCTTAAACACCGTTTATGAAGTGGTTGCCTCTTTCAGTTACCAACGGCGTTTTTGAGTTAGAGTTTGGGAGTAGCACCTAGTTCCTCGGCAGTTTCATCGCCGCATGGGCTACCTCTAAGGCAGCGCTTCCACGTGTCACCTCCGCGCTAAAACCACGCGGCTGCCCAAAGAATCCGGGAGCCGCCAGGTGCCTCTGGAGCCTCCTCCGGCTCCCCCACTCCTCCCCCCCTCCCCCGTCGCACAGGGCTGGGGGCTGCGGCCGCCTCTATTTCCACCCTCAGGAGAGGAGCGGGCAGGAGGCGGGTGCAGGGCAGACGCGGGGACCCTGTGGCCGGCATCCCGGGGCCGCAGGGCGGGGATTGTCCCTTTGCCCACCGCTCTTTTGCATCCTGAGAGGCAAGGCGGGGAGATGGAACTGATCTCAGTGCGGGCAGCGGATCTACGCAGCTTTTTTCAGCGTTGATAACGAATATTTCCAGCGCTGACCTCCAGGGGGAAGCCCCAGGCGGTACAGCTCCTGTGCAAATTTTGAGAAGCCCCTCTAAGCGCTTGGCCGTGGCCGCAGACCCTGGCTTACTGCCGCAGGGCACTCCCCGAGCACCTGTGCCAGGCTCTGCCTTTCCCCACCCGCTCCGGGCTTTGACCTACCGGGCGGACGCCCGCATTGTATTTGGGGACAGGACGAGGGGAACTACAGGCCAGGAGAAGGGGGGTGCACCCCATCCGCAGCCCGCCTGGCCTCCTTCGCTCCATCCCGGTATCATTAACCCGCGGGTGAGGCAACTGTTTGTGTGCCTTCGTTCTCTTTCCAGGGCTGCTTTTTCCCTGTTACTGATCCATCCCTCGTAAATCATTTATAGGAACAGGGCGCTTCTCTCCTCGCAGGAGCTTCCCTTGAAAAACTTTCCCATCTTCAGGCGAGCGCCTTTTCTTTGTGGACGAGAGTAACTGATAAAAGACCCCAACGCGCCGTCAGACACCACCTAAACGGCTGCCGGGAACTGCAGTCACCGCGGGTCACGGGGCGCTCCTGGCTCGAAAAGCGCAATACAGGAAACGATCAAGACCAAACCGGTTTAAAGAAGCAGCTAGTTTTATGTGGTTACCTGAGACCATAAATGGGAAACCTGCTCCAATTTTACAGGTTTTGCTTTGGAGCTCTCGGGCTGAGTTCCGCAGAGCCCCCGCCCCCCGTCAGAAAGCACCTGGCATTTCGCACTAACTCATGGCTTTGAGTTTTCTTGCCTCGCAAAACAACGAGGGAGAAAGTGCTTTGTTCGAAAATAAATCGCAAAGCTGTAACCTCTTAAAACTCTGAATCGTGAGATGACGCCGGCACCACACAGCTAGGAACCGATTTCCAGGGCTGCATTAAAGCCTCTGTTTTCTCTAAAGGTTCTCTGGCTAAACTATTAATTGCCGGGGTTTCATGAAAGATTTGCAGACTTTACAATCATTTATGATCCGTGCCATAAAAACCGAAAGATACGAGCAGGCTGGTTCAAGGTGTAACGTAGAGATGTATGAGGTGCCCTTGGCAACTATCTGTGGGTGCTGTTTGTATTCCCCGAACACGCCCTTCGCTGCAATGAACATTGCTGCGAACCGCGGGTTGGGCTGCTCATTGCCAAAGCTCCGAAGGCTCACACAAAAGAGCTATAGATTTCAGTCAGGGGAATCCAACGACTGGAAACTCATTCTGCTCCCCCGACGAGTTCAAATGCAAGTGAGATAATTAACCTTGAAGAAAAGTAAACTCGGAGGGGAAATATATGCCTTTCCCTCGTCAATTAGAAGCCCTCCAGATTGCAGATTTGAACATTCCGACCCCGACGCCCTCCTGGCCCCCTCGGGGCGGGGGATCACCCCATTGTCTGCCGGGCAGACGGCGGACGGGAACCCCCCCGAACCCGAAGAAAGACCCCTCCGAGCCCAGCGGCGGTGTTGCAGTGTCTCAGGAGCCTACCAGCCGCGCCCTGGGCGTCCTAAAGCTTATCCCCCCAGCAGACCTTTGAAGATTATGCTAATGATTGCAGATTACAAGAGTTTATTGCAAGAGGGGAGAAACAAAACCGGCCTCGTGGCGGTTTCCCATGGCGACTTTTCCGCCTCTCTTTTAAGATGATTCGAGCCCTCTTACTTCCCCCAGGCCGCTTCCCTCGGCAGCCGCAGGGTGAGGTGGGGGCTCCCTCCGCACCTAACGGGCCGGGGGGGCCGCAGCTCCGGGCAGCGCCGCTCGTAGCGCCGTGCGAGACCCAGCCGTGCCACCTAGCGGGCAGCGATGAGCTTCGCTCACCGCAGCCATGGGGCAAAGGGAGGGCACGGCACCTGGTGGCAGCTGTGTCGAAGTAGGAGCATCGCGGCGCGGTGTAAGGAAGCCCCGAGCGCCGCAGGGTGTAAGGAAGAGACCAGCAGCAGAAGAGCTTTACGCTGCCTGAATGCTCACCCCATCTTCAGCCTTTCAGTTCTCAGATGTTCATCCTGTAGTTGCGTTGCTAAATAAAGCCTAAGAGCCAGGGCCTGCCATCCTGTCCTCACCTGAGCTGTGCCAGCTCCTTCCCTGCTGAAAACAAATGAAGGGTAGGGGTACAGCATCACCTCGGATGCTGCCGTTAGCATAAAGACAGTGAGTGTGCTAACGATGTTCGTGATGTTTGTGATTAAAAGTCCTGCTGGGCTAAAGCAGAAGTAAAGGGTTCCATACATACACTGGTGTTGTCATATGAACAAGTATGATGAAAACTGTTCCTCAGACAAAGACAATAACTGTGTACTTACTGATAATATTTTGATCTTGTTGCTTATTTCAGGCCATGCTCATAGTATACTTTATGAAAATTGTGATTACTTTCTTTTCCTCCCAAAATGCAGTCAAGAAATACATACCCAAAGATAAAAATATTCCATGGTTATTGCAAGTGCTTTGACATACATGTTGAAAGCGCTGGCCACAGCAGATCAGCTGCCTAACAGTTTGTTGCTTGGTTTATGCTTGGGAAGCGTGGTGTCCCATCACTATCTGCTGCCTTCAATGTCTTTTAAAATACAGAATCATATGATCGTATGAATCACATAATCACATAATCAGTTGGAAGGGACCTTTAAAGGTTATCTAGTCCTACTCCCTTGAAATGAATAGGGAC